CCCCAAAACCCCAAAACCCCAAAACCCCATTAACGAGTTCCAAATTTATAAAATTATAATAGAAATGGAGGTGGACAAAACCTATCAACAAAAGATTTGGAGAGCAGAGAAAGAGCTCAGCTTTACTCTCGAACAGCTCGCACTATGTAAGAATTCTCTTAGATTTAACATTATATGTAGGTTTTGCTAGTATGAATAAGAGAAATGGCCAAAAAGTCAATGAGTAAGAAATCCTGGTAACATCTCTACTCCTAAATAGCACTATGGCCTATCTTATCCTTCCATAGTTATCTTTCTAGTCCTTAAATATGTCTTCACCTTCATTTATTGTCTATCGGAGTAATTCTAGCATAAACTGTTGGTAAAATTTTTCTTAAGGATGTCCTTCCCCAAGGACAGTTTATATTAACTTTAATAAGAGCTAGGCTAAGCTTAAGCTAGATATTATGTTGGCTTATTCCCAGGTTTGAATTTTAATTTAGAATGATCTATCAGATGACGAAAGGAGAGCAGAAATGGGACCATATGTGGAGTTATTATAGGAAAATGGGGGAGATTGAAGGTCTTGGAGACACGCACAGGGTGTGTATTTTGAATGGAGATATGATCGAACTTCCTTTTAAGAGGTAGGTGGACTTGGGATGGATGTCAGGGGTTTATGGTGAAGGGGGAGTTTGATATTCAAGAGCTTGGATTTTGGGATAGGATGAAGGAAAGTATATTTTTGTTGAATGAATAGCTCTTTAGTTAACTTAATTTTGGGTTATAGCTCTTTGGTGGAACAGAATTAGCATTACAAATATGCTATTCTCTTGGATTATTGTAAAATTGTCTTAGATTTGAGTTGTACACAATTGCACTAAAGGATAGATCTCCAAATATCTTCCAATAACTCTCTCAAAACTATTTCTGCAATCAGAAAAGTCAAACTTCATAAAAAGACCTTATATTTAAGCTAGAATGTCTCAACCAAAAACATAAAATTATGACTTTCCATTATGAAAACCTCTCTACCCTTAAATCATTGTCAATATTCTAAAAACAAGTAATCCATTTTCAAGCAATAAAATTGCAAGTTTGTCTCCAAAAACACTAAATTTAAGAACATTAGATTCAAAGATACAATATCTAAACTCAAAAATAAGTCTGCACTGGTGACTTTCCGGAGAGTTTTTGGGCAGTCCTCTTTATAAGATATTTATTTGTAAAATTCAGAAATTCTCAAAATATTTTAGATTATTTCTGAAGAGAGCAGTTATCACATTAATGGTCAATGGGCTCAACCCAAATTGGAGGTTACCAGAAAAGTCAATCAGCTCATTATGCTCGATGTTAAATAGAGGACCTGCATCTGTGTTTATTAATTCATTTGAAATCTCAGCTAAACAGTTTCAGACAATAGTCTCGGCTTGCACTAGTTGTAAATAAAATCAGATTTAATGATTGAAAAATTGGAACAGAAAATCTCAGATTCAGGACTAGTTTTGCACAAGATATTCGGGCATTATCATTTTATGCTTGTGGACATTCGGAGAGGAGTAATTGGGATGAATATCCGGAAAGGATCTATAATTTACTCAAAGCCATAGCGCAATCTGGTCTCAAACAGAAACTTCAAATCTTTGATTTTCACAAAGCAAATATTGCCGTACAAGATATGATTGATTGGATAATAGAACTTGGATTAGAAAGACTAAAAGTTATTTATTACGAGAAAAGGAAAAAGCATATTCTCCATTTATCAGAATAATTGACTAAATTCCGACAAAGTTTCAATATTTTTAGTCTTTCGGGGTTTTGGGGTTTTGGGGTTTTGGGGTTTTGGGG